GTTTTGATGGACCAACAATGTGAAAACGAATCGATCGAAAATGCCTCAGTGAATGAGTGAGTTATGATAATGTTTTGTCTTGTGATCCGAATTAAACGGCCAATGAGCGACATTTGGGTTAGGCTCACTCCACCATGTAATGCGGTACTGTAGTGATCGAAATAGGGACGGACCACGAATCACGGTCGTGAGTGAAGCACAGAATCACACTAGCAATTGCACGACAATGAGACGCAGGCAAAAGGCCATAGAAGTCGCGGTTGATTTTTTGTGGAGAATCAATGGAATTAAATAATATATACAAAGAAATGTCATTAGTTAAATAGGTCTTCGCAAATTACCTAATGGCATTTCTAATGCCCTACAGTTTCTTTTTGAACCGCGCGGCTTCTGATTAGTTGGCACTATTGGTCTGTAATGCGTCGCACCGTGGTTGACGTTATCTCATTGAACGGGATCACCACAGGTACCCGGAACAACGGCAGCATTGAAAGTAGACCAAGTGTACTTGCTCAACAATGGTGATGGTCAGGCATATATACGTGAAGATAATTCAAAATCTAAGATTGCATGCTGCTCGGGTCTTACTGCTCTAGTGTGCTATCAAAAACGCTCGACGATGCAACACAAAATAGGATTGGGTAAGAGGTTTGGCATCAACTATTTCACATAATCTGATTGCAACGAGCCACTGACCGCGGATCTGATCTGTCAAAATTCACAGCGTACCAATAAGCAATCGGAATGGCGTGGTTGCCGGTGAAATCATTTTGATCAAGTTCAAACACCCACAATCCGGTTGTGTGTTAACTAATCGGTCTGCATTGGTAACAGTCAGAAAATATCCAGTGATTTTTGGTCTACCTACTTGATGTGATACATTGCACACATACACACACGCCCACCTCACGGTGTTTCTGTAATTAGGAAAAACGTGCCACGTCGATCACTCACCCGTTCGGTAGAAAAAATGAAGAAAATTTAGTCAGCCAATGTCCAACTTGCTGGCCACGCATGAATTAACACCGCCATAGACTACGGTGGTCGAGACATGTGTTACGCATGCCGAGGCAGGTAGCGGTTGGAAAAAGGGTCAAGGGTGGTCAAACGAAGACCTGGCATGAGGATATGAAAACCCTAACCAGGAGATTGGGTCATGTAAGTCCCGTTGGGCTCCCTGGATGGGGACTCCGAGATGATGGTCACCGATAGTTAAAGACACTATGTGATATAGTTGGGTATCGCAAACAGTGACGTTCATTCGTCTACTCACTATTCTTGCAACCCCATCTATAGGAATTCTCTATCTTCGCTTTGACTCTACTCTCTACATCCTAATCTTTATTCAGCTTTTTATCCAAATGAGCAGCCAGAAGACAGTCTCGAAAACTGGTGCATGAAAATGCATGATTAGTGGCTGTAAAAACTGATCAGGACTGAACCTACCACGATTTTCTTTGGGTCTTCGCATATTATAGAAAGAATTCGTTGTGTTAAGTTTGAACTCTATAACCTGTCTTTAGCAATCTCATACCTTCCATCTGCTGTTAGAGTGCTA